ATGATCCACACAGTCAAATGCCTTTGCATAATCAATGAAACACAGATAGACATTCTTCTGGTATTCTCTGCTTTCAGCCAAGATCCGTCTAACATCAGCAACAATATCCCTAGTACCACGACCCCTTCTAAACCCAGCCTGGGTATACATGATTAAATATTATATGTAAGGCAAGAGTCCAGGATAAGAAGTGCATTGGAAAAAGTCTGGGTGAGAAGGAGGAGGGGCAAAGGGAGGAAATTGCGCAACAGTGTATGAATATTTTTTTTTTAAAAAGTCAACAGGGGAGGGGAGGGAGAAATCTTATCTTTTCCGTAAATTTATATTAAAATCAGAATAAAATAAAAATATTCATTAAAAAGGAAAGGAAAAAACCTTCAGAAATAAAAAACCCAACCTTCCTATAAACTCTCATTAAAATCACAGTAAATAAATGCAACTTTGTGTTTCCAAACAGAACATACATCTGTGGAATTGATACTGACTTCAGCCGATTCTGGATTCTGAGACATTGGAAGCAGGTTGCCTCATTGTTATCTCGTTTTTTGTGTTACACACACACAGAGGAAACATTTTGGTTTTTATTCACTCTTAATTGTTTAACCATTTTTGACAACTGTGAACAAAAACTGGAAAATTCTGTTTTCTAGAGGAATGTAATAGATTTGGAGGTAATTCAGGCTCACCTTGTATCACGTTGATAGCAGAAATGCAATATTGAATGAATGGAAATCCAAGTTTTCTGTCAACTTGCATTAAAATCATCATAAAAAATTAAAAAAAAAAAAGAATTATTCCTGGAAGTGGTGAATTGCTTCTCAGGCCCCAGTCCAAGCCCTGACCGGCCATGGACCGGTGCAGGGTCCAGAGCAAACCTGTATCTGGAATCTGCATGTGCATTTCCTGTAAAGAGGGCTCGCTGACAGGGTCTGAGCAGATTTGTTTCTGGATCTGCACGTGTGTTCCTACCTGTGATGAGAGCTCTGTGATAAGATCCTGGTGGACCTGTGTATGGAATCTGTACGTGTGCTCTCTCCACAAGGAGGGCTTTGTGACGGGGGCTGTGCAGATCTGTGTCTGGATGTATCCCTCTCTGTGATGAGGATTTGATGAGAGAGTCTTTGCAGACCGGTGTATGGAATCTGTATGTGTGCTATCTCCTTTACGAGGGCTCTGTGACAAGAGCTGTACATGTGTCCTTCCTTCCCTATGACAAGGGCTCTGTGGCATTGGGTGTTGGCTGGGAACTGGTTCATTTAAAAAAAAGGCCAGGATCTTAGAGAACAGTATCTTACTGACTGGGCTCATCCAGCCCATTTCCTCTGAATACTCAGCCTTTGAGTTCACAAGCTGTCGATCCCTTGGATTGTGCTGGTCCACAGCACAGAGATTGTTGGTATATTTTGTTGGGTTTGACAAATTGAATTCACCATAATGTAAAAATAGTCAGCTGCTTTTACTGTTAGATTTTTTCTTTTCTTTTAATATAAAATTTTTATTTCATACTGGTTTATTTACAAGGTTTGTATACATTGTTTTTCACACTGGATCTTTCCCATTTCCTTAATCCACCCCTCTCTCCACCCATCAAATTGTG